CAGCAACCCAGTGATTCTGGCCATGAAAGCCTTTGACAACATGAAGAGAAGCCATTCCCCACCTCCAAATTTGTATTTATTCTTTTCTTGCCCAAAACTGCGGGAAGCTCTTGCTGTGGAGGTGAATGTGATGGACAAAACTGTGGATGCTCCCCTGCTGTGCCAGGCTGTTGTCTTCCGTGGGCCTTCCTTCTCTCAGAAGTGTATTTCTTGATTTTAGTTGCGATTCCGCCAGCTTGGAGGAAACAGCTAATTCTCAGATTAAATCTGGGATGCAGCACCCATTCTGCCAGCACGGAAGGACTTTCTCCTGCTCTCCCATTTGATTTTTGCCCCCCTTCCCACTAATCCAGCACCATCGCTGTGGGTTGGTCGAGGTGATGGGTTTCGGGAGGTGCCTCCGACTTGATTACATAAGAGCATTTTCTTGCTAAATCTGTATCGCTCTCTCTTTCTCCGTGGTTATATAAAGGCAGGGTGGAGCAGCCCCCTCCCTCTTCATTACGAAGCCCCTGAAGCCATCTCCCTTTCTTCTCATCCTCCTATTTGGTTGTCTTAGAAGAGCTCCTAAAAATGGCCAATATCTGCTGAAATCTCAGACACTGGAGGAATTGCTTCAGATACACCCTACAGATCTACTCCATACACAAAGTCCCCTCATCACTTTCAATCACATCTCTCTCCCTTGCTACACACTCCTTGTAGAAGCTGAGCATGCTGTAAATAGAGCAGTGTAGGAGAGAAAATGAACAAAATGTAAGGTTGCCTATGGAAATTGTACCACCTCAGAAGCTCCTTCTTTCATTTTGTAGTTGTTACCTTAAAAATAAATCAAGTTTCTGCTCCTCGGGGTTGTGCAAAATATACTTGGTTTATTAGAAGTAGGTGAGAAATGCCTGCTGAGATTTCCGAAGCCAGAAGAATGGCAGATTTCTAGTGGCTGGAAGTGTGTGTGGCTTGCATGCCTAGCAGAGTTCTTCCTTGTGAATAAAGGGAAGAAATCAGGTGAACGGACTTCATTTGCATATACTTATGCAAACTGCAGGATTTGGCTCTTAAAGCAGAATTTTTATCCATTTCTATCCCTTTATAGCACAGAACTATAAAGAGAGATGTTTTTTATTCCCCACTCTGTGCCCAAAGTTTGGAAAAGTTTGCGTGTTCAATTACTTGTGTGTTTGCATGTTGAAAGTCTGGAGAAATGACTTCTTCTTTTTTTTTTACTGCAGCTTTATTTATTTGTCGTGTCAGAGCAACCAGCCTATTATATTACATTTCTAACAGAACAAAGCAAACAAACAGACAAATACAAAACTTGTGAGTTTGGTAGTTGGTTAAATGTCCTTTGACCAGTATCTGGCCACTTGGAGTGCTTCCAGTGTTGCTGCAAGGAGGTCCTCCATGGTGCATGTGGCAGGGCTCAGGTTGCATTGCAGCAGGTGGTCAGTGGTGTGCTCTTCTCCACACTCGCATGTCGTGGAGTCCACTTTGTAGCCCCCATTTCTGAAGGTTGGCTCTGCATCTCGTGCTGCCAGAGCGCAGTCTGTTCAGTGCCTTCCAAGTCGCCCAGTCTTCTGTGTGCCCAGGAGGGAGTCTCTCATTTGGTATCCGCCATTGGTTGAGGTGCTGGGTTTGAGCCTGCCACTTTTGGACTCTCGCTTGCTGAGGTGTTCCACGAATGTGTCTCTGTAGATCTTAGAAAACTATTTCTAGATTTAAGTCGTTGACATGCTGGCTGATACCCAAACAGGGGATGAGCTGGAGATGTCTCTGCCTTGGTCCTTTCACTATTGACTGCTACTTCCCGGCAGATGTCAGGTGGTGCAATACCGGCTAAGCAGTGTAATTTCTCCAGTGGTGTAGGGCGCAGACACCCCGTGATAATGCGGCATGTCTCATTCAGAGCCACATCCACTGTTTTAGCGTGGTGAGATGTGTTCCACACTGGGCATGCATACTCAGCAGCAGAGTAGCACAGCGCAAGGGCAGATGTCTTCACTGTATCTGGTTGTAATCCCCAGGTTGTGCCAGTCAGCTTTCGTATGATATTGTTTCTGGCACCCACTTTTTGCTTGATGTTCAGGCAGTGCTTCTTGTAGGTCAGGGCACGGTCCAGAGTGACTCCAAGGTGCGCTGCAATGCTCCAGTGGGATTCCTTCCCACGTGATCTTCAGAGCTCGGGATGCTTCTCTGTTCTTGAGATGAAAGGCACATGTCCGTGTTTTAGATGGGTTGGGGATCAGCTGGTTTTCCCTGTAGTAGGCAGTAAGAGCACCTAGAGCTTCAGAGAGTTATGCAGCTGGTTGGTGGGTCTCTGGATTGTAACCCAAGATCTAACTATTCAAAGATGTGATTTCCATCCTGGTTTGGCTAGAAAAGTGGCTCTCAACTTGTTGGTCCCCAGATGTTTTGGCCTTCAACTCCCAGAAATCCTAACAGTTGGCAAACTGGGTGGGATTTCTGGGAGTTGTAGGCCAAAACACAGGTTGAGAACAACTGGGCTAGAAGGTTTGTCTCCCAAAGATCATCTCCAACACAGTGCCCTGGTTTAGAGGCTGCATCATCAACCATAAGAAATCCCAACTTGGATGTTGTTGAAAGGATACTGACACCATTATACCAAGTTACCTATTCAAACTTAACTACAAAGAGATGAAGTCTAGGGCCTTGAATGTAAGAAGTGTGTTGCTCTCCACGGTGCTGAAGTGGTTTCTTCCATTATATTACTTGCTCCAGACTGATGCATTAAGTCTAGTCAGTGAATAAGGTAATAATGGGCAACAGAAAAACAAAAGAAAAGAGTAGGTGGCATTTATGGAATGACTGACAGGCAGGGGAGTTAAGGGCCGGGTTTCTAAGGAGGCTGTGATAACCACAAAACTGTAAGGATCTCAAGCAGTAGCAAAGGAAATCATTCGAAGCCTGGGCACCATTTCTAGCCTTCTAGAGCAGTGGTTCTCAACCTTTCTAATGCCATGATCCTTTAATACAGTTCCTCATGTTGTGGTAACCCCCAACCATAACATTATTTTCATTGCTACTTCATAACTGGGATTTTGCTACTGTTATGAATCATAATGTAACTGTCTGATATGCAGGATGTATTTTTATTCACTGGACCAAATTTGGCACAAATACCTGGTATGCCCAGATTGGAATACTGGTGTAGTTGGGTGCAGGGGGTTGGTTTTGTCACTAGGGTGTTGTAGTTGCTGGGATTTATAGTTCACCTACAATCAAATAGCATTCTGAACTTCACCAATGATGGAATTGAACCAAACTTGCACACAGAACTCCCAACACCAACAGAAAATACTGGAAGGTTTTGGCGGGCATTGACCTTGAGTTTGGGAGTTGTAGTTCACCTACAACTAGAGAGTACTGTGGACTCAAACAGTGATGGATTGGGACCAAATTTGGCATGAATATTCAATATGTCGAAATGTGGACACTGGTGGAGTCTGGGGGAAGTAGACCTTGAGATTTTGGAGTTGTAGTTGCTGGGATTTACAGTATACCTACAGTCGAAGAGCATTCTGAACCCCACCAATGATAGAATTGGGCTAAACTTCCCACACAGAACACCCATGACCAACAGAAAATACTGTGTTTTCTAATGGTCTTTGGTGACACCTCTGACACCCCCCTCACAATTTCCCCCGCTCCCGGGGTCCTGACCCCCAGGTTGAGAAACACTGTTCTAGAGCATATCTCAGCCACAAAACAGGAAAAAGCATAATGTCTGCTTTACCATTGTCCTAATTCTGATAGACATATATTCTGAAGAAGAAGACTCACTTGAGGGCAAGGATGCATATGGGGAAAGTCACTCTATTTCATCATCTTCTCTATGGACATATTGTCTGGGATCAGAGTTCATTTTACTAGTTTTAGGTAGTGCTTGCTTGTGTGAAATATATGTTTGACAATTCAGAATATTCACCTATGAAAACTAATCAATTTTGAAACTGTTTTTTTTCACTGGCGTTATACACCTGCATTGTCATTTCATCAGTTTCGACAATCTACATCAGTGGTTCTCAACCTGTGGGTCCCCAGATGTTTTTGGCCTTCAACTCCCAGAAATCCTAACAGCTGGTAAACTGGCTGGGATTTCCGGGAGTTGTAGGCCAAAAACATCTGGGGACCCCAGGTTGAGAACCACTGATATACATTTTAGACATGGAAAACAATTTTGCCTGCTTTTATTTATTTATTTGAGGTGTTACTATATTGCCTCCTAATCCAAGGGGACTCTCAAGGTGATGAACAAAGAAAAGCAATCAAAAGCAAAAATATCAATTAAAAACACAGTAAATAATATGTTAAAACGTTAGTATACTGTTTTAATACATACTTAAAACACAACCATTTCAGACATTAAAAGCCACACGAAATAGCACTGTTTAGGCTGCCTGCTGGAAGCTTAAAAGGGATGAGGACAGCCTAATTTCCTTGACCTTGTGCTGCTACAAAGAAAGCCATTATGTGTACATATCAACCTAATTGGAATAGTTTGGAGATTTGGGGTTTTATTGATGCAAAGAGAATTATTTGACATCTCTGTTGCGTTTGCAGTTGTAAACAATTTGTTGCATGGTGGGTGACCTTCTGATAATGACTCTCTCCATAGTTAACAGACTCTCATGATGGAGCCATACTCAAAGCTTTCCCAGCTTGATAGGACCTGTACATTTTCACTCCACTGGCAAAGTCTTCAAGAACCTACAACACAAACAGGCTGCATAGCAGGACTTTGTGGAGGGTGGAAAATTACAGCTATGGGAAATAATTCTGCTCCATGCCCTTCACTTGAGATCAACTTCCTCTCTTACTCCTGTGATTTAATCATCTTCTCGCTGTGACGTTAAGCAAAGGCCAACTTGTAGTCGAGGTCAGCTTAGTCATTTTGAAAGCCATGTAGGTGTACAAGTAGACAGCCATTTAAAGGTAAGTGGAATGGCAAATAAAAACGGCTTCTCTCATTTCTCTCCATGCAGGCTAAAGTGATCGTTCCCAACAGCACGGCGGGGTTGATCATAGGCAAAGGAGGGGCCACCGTGAAGGCCATTATGGAGCAGTCTGGAGCATGGGTGCAGCTGAGCCAGAAGCCTGAGGGCATCAACCTTCAGGAACGAGTGGTGACCATCAGTGGTGAGCCTGAACAGATCCACAAAGCCGTGGATATCATTGTCCAGAAGATCCAGGAAGATCCCCAGAGCAGCAGCTGCCTCAACATTAGCTACGCCAACATTACTGGCCCGGTGGCCAACTCCAACCCAACCGGATCACCCTATGCCAACTCCACGGACGTCCTGCCAGCTGCCGCCGCTGCTGCCACGGCATCGGGCCTCCTGGGCCACACCAGCCTGGCTGGAGTAGGGGCCTTCCCAGCCGCCCTGCCGGGTTTCTCCGGCAGTGACCTTTTGGCCATCAGCACAGCCCTCAACACCTTAGCCAGCTACGGATACAACACCAGTTCTTTAGGGCTCGGCCTCAACTCTGCAGCCGCCTCTGGAGTGCTGGCCGCCGTAGCCGCTGGCGCCAACCCAGCTGCAGCTGCCGCCGCTAACCTCCTTGCTTCCTACGCCAATGAAGCATCCACTAGCACCACTACCCCAGCCGGTGCTGTCGGAGCCTTCACCTTAGGTTCCTTAGCTGCTGCCACCGGGGCGGCCAATGGCTATCTAGGGACAGCCTCCCCTTTGGTGGCTAGCTCCTTCTTAGCCACAGAGAAGCTTGTGGAAAGCACCAAAGATATGGTGGAGATTGCCGTGCCGGAGAACCTAGTGGGCGCCATTTTGGGGAAAGGCGGCAAGACGTTGGTTGAGTACCAAGAGCTGACAGGCGCCCGCATCCAGATTTCCAAAAAGGGGGAGTTTATTCCGGGTACTAGGAACCGAAAAGTCACCATCACAGGCACTCCAGCTGCAACCCAAGCAGCGCAGTATCTTATTAGCCAGCGAGTAACATACGAGCAAGGCGTCCGGGCCACCAACCCACAGAAAGTGGGTTAAGAGGAGGCTGGAGAGAAGGCTGGGGGAAGGAGTAGAGTTGAAATCAGTCCTTTAATCATTAAAATGGTAACCTACCCGACACCAGCCCCTGTCCAGTGTCCATCTCTCACACATGCACTCCCCTGCTCTGGGCAGCAGCCCAGCGTTTGTTCTACTGGAACTTTATTTCGCTGATGGTGCGATTTATGTGTGTGTGTGTGTATATATATCTATATATCTATATATATGGCAACATTTTCTTTTCTTTTTTGAGTTGATGGATTTTAATAGAAAAACATTTTTTTTAAGAAAAAGAAGTCCTCTTTCTTTCCCTCTTTTCTTTCCAGTTTTCTTTCTCAACAATCTTGGCAGAGGAAGGTCTATCTCTTCATGCTTTGTTCCCCACCCCCGAGTCGATAGATCAAGTTCAGGATTTCTTGATAGGCTATTGGTACTCCCCCTTCATGCCCACGCAGAGTATTGTCACCCGCAGATGCTCAAACTGAGTTTAGACATATTTGTGGGGAGGGAAGACGTGGGTTGAGTTTGCAAGGAGGTAGTTTCTTTGCCTAAGGACCTTCAGTTCTTGAAAATGACACCACTTTGTGTGTTATCTGAGAGGTCCATTGTTTGTAGTGAAGCTGAGTGTGGATTTTCTTCCTCTTGGTGTCCTAATTTGGGTATTCTGGGAGAAGGAATGCCTCGAAGAAGGAGGGGTTGGACTGGGAAGGGCTTTGAAACAGGAACACAGGTTTGTTTGAGATGATGGGCATTTAAAAAGGCATGGTTCTTCCACACATATTTTCATGTGGGAGGGAAAAACAGTGTGTCTGTGGGCATTCTTTCCCCCATTTCCCAGCTTTATTTATGATAACAGAAAAAGTGAGGTGCTTGGATTGAAGGTTTGTAGCTGAAGAGTTTTCCTGCATGATAGAGAAGTCACTTTGCAAAGTCAAGGGGACGAGATCAGAATGTTCACATTGGGGAAGTTTTGATATTGGCAAGTCAGGAGTTGATGGGAATCTGGATTCCAAAGTGAGCGTAAGAGCATCATAGTCCCAGAGAGAATACTGAAATAAGCAGTGATCCTCCTGACATGTGAGAAATGGCTGTGATGTAGTTGAGGTGACTTCTTCACATGGTGCCATGAAGTCATGATCTCCTTCCTGAGGTCTGTTTGGCTACTTCCTGTTTTGTCTCTCCCTGAATAGATAAGTTCCTTCACCAAACTTCATATATCCTCACAAGAAGAAAGCTCTCCATGTTTTTTTTTCAGGGGTTATCATCTAAAGTGGAGGCCTGTTTTCTTGAAAGACAAGAACAACAGCCAAACCCAACCATCCTTTCACTTACGAGTGCCATCCTTTGGGTAAAATCCATATGGTACAGCTGGACAGGAAATGCTGGCTACTGATGCTCTTATCTTGCTGGGGGCCAAACTTGATGCTTTCTGTAAGATACCCAAAGTTGCACAGCATTCCTTTCCCAGCCTGACCCTCTATTGACATTAGAAAACCACTAAACCATCTTGTTATCAGTATTAGTGCTTTGAGTGGGACTGAACATTGGCAAAGAGAATTCAATCCATGAAAATTGCATCTTTGAATCCCTTTTTGATCCACATTCTACATGTAATCAAGCAGTATTATTATCCCACACTGGAGTGAAAGCTTTTACCCCAGTGATTATGCAGCAGGGATCCTACTACCCTGTTCTTTTTCTTGCCTCCTCCTTGAAGGTTTGCGCTAGTGGTTTCAGCCCCAGGGTCATTTGAGCAGCTTCCAATTTCCAGTGGAAGAAGGTGACTAGTGCCAGGTGCATGGGATTTTTGGGTTGACGGTCCAAGCACAGAGCTGTGTGTTGCTGTTTGCTTATCTGAGCTTTCTCTATTTGCTAGCCTTCTATTGATCAACACTGTGTGACCCCTATCCCATGCAACCATCACCCTTGAAAGGAGGAACATGAAATAAATCAAAGTTCCTCCCTGCAATGTTTACATAAATGCAGCTTCTCTTAAGGCATGAAGAGTATTTAATTCTTTTTTGCTCCTGAAGGTGCCAGCATTTTAATAAGAGCCTAGCTTTCTTGCTGCACTGATATTGTTTTCCCTCTTTAATAAGAACATAGAGTTCAGGATTGGCCCAGAGGCCAAAAACATATAGCACTGCATTGCAATGTGAAGCACTGGGTTGCCTCTGTTTTTCTTTCTCCCTTTCCTTTTAACTAAATGGCTACAGAGGAGCCAAGGCAGAATGGAGTCCTCCCAATGCTGGATTGCGAAGTGGATGTCTACCTCGTCGCCCCAAATCTCATTGCGATACATCCTATAACTTCCTGTGGCACATTTCAGGCTGTGTGCATACAGACCCTCGCCAGCATAAGACAGTGAGGCATCTCTGTTAGACTACACATCTATCTTCATAGGTAGGTTGGTTTGGTGATAGGAAACTTCTCTGTTTGGAAGAGCCAAGATTGAGATAATCCCATTCAGAAGTGTTTCAAATAGGGGGGAAATGGAGCATACAATGCTCCAAGATTTGGGGTTAGGGTGGGGAAAGATACTGAGGGAGTTATGGGGCTGTTTCACCCCTCAGCTGCTTCAGTAGCTCCTATCTTGCTGTGTCAATGTCCAACTTGCTTCAAGGCGTGTGGACTTGTGCAATATTTTAATTCTTTCCTGACTCCTTCTGAAGCATGGAGGTGGACGGGGTGTGTTTGCGGTGGGGGGTGGGATGGGAGATAGCTGCACACACCCCTCCATCCTTCTTTTAGGTTAGCTTGACCAACTGCTAGGCTAGTTCTTAGGACAATTCTGTGTCTGGATGTGAGTGAGGCTCTGGGGGTGCATAAGGGGATAGGGAAGGGGGGCAGAGAATTAATATCTTATTACGTGGTAGCATGTATCTTTGTTCTGTTTTTTCCTTCTTAGACTGAAGGGGAGAGTCTTGAGACTCTAAAACCACTAGGGAGCAAAATCTCAAATGTGAATCTTATATACTATTAAAAATGTAAAGGAAGCAATATCTCTATAGCATCTTGCACTGATCCTACAGAGTGAGGAGAGCTGCTGAAGCCAGCATTTTATCTATGGAAGGTTTGCTTGCTAACTAAAGCAGAGGGGAGACAGGCAGCAAGGAATGGCGGCCTCTGTTTACACTGGCGTAGATTCCAGGCCTCCTGGGGTTTTGTTTTTTTTTAAATGATGAACAAAATATTGCTGCTGTTTTAGATGTGTGTCTCGCATATCAGGCTTTTGTGTTAGGGGCAGAAGGGTGGGAGAGGGATATAAAAGGGAAAAATGTGCCAAATTCTTCAGTCTGCGTCTTTTTAAATATTGTGGATGCTTACGACATAGAGGGATATTCCTTACCCAGTTCCCTGCCTTCTCTGAAATGCTGCAGATATTTTAACAGTATTTTCCCAGTCTGTCCTTCCTGCTTTTTCCCGTCAGCTCTGCTTTGCCCTCCTCTTCTTCCTTTGGGATCTCAGAATCATGGTTTCATGCCAAGGCACACGCGGACTCTGCCACCTGGTCAATTATGTTAAGAAACCATTTTTCCAAAAAACCTTCCTCCTCTTTTGCAGACTTCTGCAACTTCTTAGTAATATTGAATAATCTTGGCTCCCCCTGAAAGCCATGAGGAGTAGAAATGAGATGCTTTCACTCATATACTTTCAAGTATATTTTTGAAACCAAAAAGATCAGACAGTTGCTGTCTTTTCACCTTTTTTTCTCCCCAACTGTAAGATATGAAACTATGAAACTGAGTTCTGCCGTTAATTGCCATGATATCTCACAGAGGTCTGGTTATGGCTTACATAAAATTGGCATTAAACATCCAGGAGCCACTGATAGCCTTTTGGACAGGTTGGGCAAGAGATAGGATTCATGGTAAAGATACCAAGCCCTTTATAATTCTAGTTTGTGCTGTAAATTTCATACACCTGAAGACACATAATGCAATTTAACAGTTTGTGAGCATACCGCTTTCACTAATGCAGCTCCCTGCTGATGACACTTTGGATTGCAGGATTGTGTTCAATTCTGCAGAACGCTTTAGACTTTTTTAAAAAACTGGCAGAAGTCAAAATCCTGGCTTTTAAGTGAGGAATAGCGCTTCTCATATCAGATAGGCATTCTGGTGACTAGCTGGCATGCCACTCCCCAAAAGATAAAACCTTTCTTTTCTGCTTTGTTGGTGAAATACCGTAAACTTGTCAGTCGGCCCATAGCTTCATTATTTTGCCCAGATTCAAACTCCTGTTACCTCCACTGAAAAGGATGATGGGCAGCAAGATGATGATGGTGAGGACTAATTATTGGTGCTCCAAACCTTGGGTGAGACCATGCTGGGTAACCTCACCTGCCACTGTGTTAGAAAGCAGCAGGATCTCTTTGGATGATGGGATTTCCACATGGAGTTTCTTGCTTGAGGATATTTTAAATAGGTTTCTTTTGTGCCAAGTTCCTTTCCTGAGCGAAAAGGAGCTTTGGTTAAGCACTCCTGGATCTGGTCATCTTCTTTGCCCTTCATCCAAAAGACATCAGGGCTAAGGACAACATCCAGGGGGCCAGAGCCACTGAAATGTGAGCTGGGCAGGAGAACTGCCCCTTATATCTTATTTCTTAGCACCTCTTCCATTTCCCTCTTTCAAATCCCACAAAACTATTTCCTCTTTCCTCTCTTTGAAGAAACCAAACTTGCTAAACAGAGTAGGATGGGATCAGAGCAGCATTGTAAAGTTGTTTGTATCCACTGCACTTTGGGAGCCATTACTGTAACTTGGAACAGTCAGGTTTCGAGAATATTATTGACATATCCTGTTTAAAAAGACGCACTTTCCCTCCCTCATTTTTGAAGTGCCAAACTATTATTTATAGATGACATGCAGCTATTTAAACAGATTTTTAACAAGGAAAGGGGTTGGGGTGGGGAGGGTGGGCTGGGGGAATGGGGACCGCAGGGGCATTTTGATATTTAAAAACAAAAGTTCTTTAAAAAAAAGTGAAGCTTAGGACTTGTTAGTGGATCTGACGTCAGGATCTTTAGTGGCTTTTAAATAAATATAATACTTTTTTCTATTAAAAAAGGGAGACCTTCAGTTCTGTTCTCAGCTGTCTTTCTCTGGAGCTGTCTTGATGCTGAATGGTGGTGATGGAGGCACGGGTCTTTTGCCCCGTAACTCAAGGAGGCAGGGAGCATGTGATTGTATACCAACTCCTTTTGGGAGGGGGAATCTGCTTTGTGAAACCATGTCCAATTTCTATATGTTGAAAAGCCCAATCTTGCTTTAGTGGGAAAACTATCACCTTGCACATATGCTGGTTTTGGAGCAAAGGTGCAAAAGAGGAAAGCAGACACCATGGAGGAGGCATTTTAAAGTCACTCCTATGCTGTAGATTCATGTCCAGTGTTTTCTGAGCTGATATATTTCCTCCACCAAACTGGACTGTTGAATAGAAGGGAGGAGAACATGCCTCTGCTTGGAAACCCAATTCTCAATCCAGCAAAAGTTCTTTTACATGGCTTTTGATGGGATTTTAGAGCAGCCCTAAGGCCCATTTCATTGTTTTCCAGTGGAGTTACATCTTGAACCTGAAGCAGTTTTGTCCAAATTAGGCTTTACTGATTCCATTCGGACTTACCCATGAGGTTGCCACCAGAATTATCTTCTTGTTGGTTTGTAGCCATGGTTTCTCTCTGGCTGTTTTCCATGATGAGATGCAACAATGTTGAGTCTTGAGGGAGAAGGATCAAGGCACATTCTCCCTTCTTCACCTGATGCTCTTTAAACTCTGACCTCCTTGAGAAAAAATAATCTCAGTTTACGATCTTGGTGCCCAGACGGGAAGTGGAGGGAATGATATTGTATTGAGTGACATGCATGGTGAACCTTGGAGATCGGTGGGCACGTTTTTGAACGGGTGAGTTTTTCCAATTGCCTCCCCTCTCTCTTCTGGATTGTCTTGGTATATCCTGCTTCCCTTTCCCTCCATTTTAAATAAGTTTCAAAAGCAGCAATTCCTGGGTGCTTTGAACCTCCTGCCCTCTTCACACAGAGACGCTGTTGCTCCAGCGAAGTGGCAGCGAAACCTGCTTTGGTGACAGCCGGGACTTTATGAGCTCTCAATGTGCCAAATATGAGCCAGATTTTTATGAATCAAATAATGAAATAATAATAATAATCAGCCGTGGAGATGGTCTAGCTGGACTTTGCTGCTGGCACTCCACTTTCTATCCGAAAGGGAAACTTTCTCCTTTTGAGGCGTGCCCTCCAGGCTCCTCCTGCCAATCCAAGGTGTGTTCAAAGAGTGTTTCCGAATTAAAGCTTTGGAAGGCAAGACAGGAATGGGGCTGTAACTTAATCAAAGGATTATTACATATTCAGCGTCCCATAGGGCCAATATGCACCTATATATCTCATAAGAAACATATACATTTGCCCAGCAGTTGGGGAGGGGGAGCGAGAATCGTCTTGTTATCATCTCCTCTCCACTTACTGTACCCCCTTTGCATTTACCATATCACTGTTCTTGTTTTTCTTCTCTTTTCTTTTCAAGTTTTTTAGGCAGCCATGTTTAAAATAAAAAAAGGGGTTTGGTGGCAAGGTGAGAAAAAGACAAAGCAAGACAAGGAAGAGGAAGGAAATGCATTTGATAAGATTGAATGGGATCCTATTCCGGGCGAAAAGTCCTCTCCTCCTCCACATGTGTGTACATCCCAGTTGTTGAGTGCCAAGCCCTCATTCTTCCCTTTTGCCGCTCTTCCCTTTTCCCCAAAAGCCCCTTTTTTTTATTTGTGTCAGGACACACTCATCCTCTGGAGCATCCTTTCCATCCAGCATTTTGAACAAGTTCGCACGCCACAAACTTCTATATATAAATATATATATAAGTACATATATATATTATTATTTTTTAAAAAAACACTTACCTAAAGCAGCATTGGGACTATTTATACCATGGTTGGCTACCTCCGGACTGCTTTTTTTTTTTCCAAATCCACTTTCATCATTCTCAGCATCGAGAACATTTCTAGCGTGTTGGTTTTTTTTTTTCCAAGGGGGAATACAGCACTCACCTTTCAAAACGTTTGTTTGTTTGTTTGTTTTTTTAAAAAAATGTCAAACCTTTGCTTCATCCGAATTTTGGGGGATTCCATCTCGAATTCTCTTGCTGCCGGGGACAGTTTCCACCTTGTTTCAACCCGTCTTCTGAACTTTCAAGCTTCACCCTTCCATCATTTTGAACTTATAACCTCCCTCCTTCTGTGTTCATCAAAACCTGTGTTTTTTGGATTTTTTCCTCATCTTCCATATTACAAAAAAAATAACAAAAAACAAAAAAACAAAACAGAAAAACAAATTAAAATTATATATATAAATATATAAATATTAGGGGAAAAGACAAGTGCAACAGACTGTCAAATTCTTACAATTTAGTCTACTGAATGAGATGATTTGATGTCATATTTTTTTCTCTTTTAACTGTGAACAACAACAGCAAAATGTTTCTCCACCATCGCTTCATTGTAAATACTCTGTTTCTGTTTGAACATGTTTGCGGGGTGCGGGAGGGGAAGGGAAAAAGAGGGAGGCCATTGATTTTGTGTTCTCAAACATCAGAGACGTGTCGGTGCATAAAAGTGCTGGGGGTTTTGGGGGTGGACAGAATCACTCAATATATTCCAAAATGTTTTGAGAGGTAACAGAAAGAGTTATGGTGCTATCAGGAAGAATTTAAAGTTTTTCTTTGGTCCGTACCAGACCACCTTGGCTGCAGAGATCAGGTGTTGCACCTAAATACTCCCACCTTCCCACATACTACGTAAATATAGCAGACAATAAGAGGTGCCGTAATATATTTCCTCTCCTTTAAAAACATAAATGTAAGATTTTTTTTCTCAGATAGGTGTGGTGTCTGAAGTTTATTTTCAGGATATGAGATTTGCAAGATTTGGTCCACTACGGCCAAGTTTAACTTCCCATCCTAAGATTCTGATAAAGGAGAGAAAGCCTTGTCACCTTTCAAAGGTCTGATATTTCAATTTAATCTTTGCAGTCCAAAGGGAATACATTTGGCCCACAACATTTGCAGGGGTTATGAGCCCTGTTAAAGTGGAAAATATATTACCAATATATTTTTTAACATGAAAGGGCACCTCTGTAAGTATCTTTTCATCCTCCAGACTCCAATGGAAGTTTATTGTATTGTCACTCTGGAGGACCTACAAGTGTCTAGAGAAAACATATCCATCAAATCTGTCAATAATCAAATGTGTGGATACATAGCCCATGAAAGTTGAGAGGTGGCTGTATAGTTTGTTAGGAAAATGTGCAAATGAAAATGTGTAGCTTTGCGAAATGGCAATGCAGCAATTCCTGCTGCTTATGAACATTTCGGAATTGGAAACATTAGGATAGAGCTTGGTTCTGAAACCGTATTTGCTATGAGGCATCCTCCTGAGTGAGAAAAGCAAAATTAGAGGACAATTTAAATGTTGCTGCATTCACATTATTTGTGCCTCCTTCCAAGGGAGTGCTTTTCTGTTTCAAACCAGAACAGCAATGCCAGCTTAATACCTTTTGTCTCATGTCTTGGGAATGCCCATCTCTTCCTTCCTTTAGTTCCTTAACAGAGGCTTTGTGGCCAGACAGTTCTGGATTCAAATCTGTGTTGAAATCCTACAAATTTTCACAAAGGACCTCAAAGGATGTCTGAGGTTCCATAAATTTGGCTGCCAGTAAGAGTCACCAAGGCCTTTTCTACACAGCTGTATAAAATCCAGATTATCTGCTTTGGACTGGATTATTTGGCAGTGTAGACTCAGGCAATCCAAAGCAGGTAATGTGAACTATCTCCCTTGATATTCTGGATTACATAGCGGTGTAGAAGGGCCCTAAGATTGGCTTCAATGGGCCAACAGTCTGATTTGGGGTGAGGCTTTTTCAGCATCCATTGATCAATGCACAAACCTCCATTATCTTTTATGCAACTGTCTCCAATCATTCTGGATTTTTGTTCTCCATCCAACCTCTCCTTTTAACAGCAATCTTATTTATTTGCGTGGGATGGTGCCAAAGGGGGTGGGAAGGGAAAACCAAGAGAGGTATGATTGAAAATGTTTTATTGTAAAATAAAAAAAAATAGAGAGAGAGAGACAGAAAGAGAGAAAAGGAGAGAAAAAAGGAGCAAACAAGTAACCAACTCCATCATCATGGCTACATAGCAAAACCAACAAAAAAAAACCTGAATGTCTTGGTAGGTTTGTGTGTTTTAGTGTAAAGTTGTGTATTGATTTTGTGCTCAGTGAAGTCAGCATTTTTTTTAGTGCTAATACTATTAACTCATTTCTGTCATGATAAATGTCCATTCACGACATCACTTCCGTCTTCCGTTGTCGTTTTTTCTTTACATTTCACGACAATCTCTTAACCCATTTTTACTAATGGAGCTGGGAGGGAGGTGTCACAGCAAGGAAGCGACATCTAGGCCTCATCATTTCCTTTCCACTCACCCACCCCTTCCTTGTCCCATGAACCAGGCACGGGGTCAGCTTAGAAGGGCCTGAGAGGGTCTTCCTCGGACCGAGAGGGCAGGCCCATCTGTGTCTTGTTGGAACATGTGGTCAATCATCGTGGCTGAACCCTTGAGCCCCAGGTCCTTGTCCACAATGGCGAGGTTTCTTGCTACCTCACTAAATCAGGCACTGTTCCATGGCGTCTGTGGAATGGACCTACCTCACCTGCTGGGAAAAACACGTGACAAAAAGGCTCCTTCCTTTAAGAAGGCAAGCTTCATCTTGCCTTCCATTTGGATGCAAGGTCAGCTTGGACACATCTCTGCATACGATCGTCTGGATCTTCTAATGTAAGATGCAGCAGAGATACCAGTTGCCCAAAATATATCAGGAACACAATGGGTGGAGAGCCAACACTCTTTATATTAATATGGGGAAGATATGAGTTTCCAGATGCAAATTGGATTCAGTGCTCTTCTGCCCCATCCAATATGACCAATGATGGGATATAATGAGAGTCGTGACCCAACATCTGGAATGCCAAAGGTTCCCCCACCATAGCATGCATTAAAACTTCTCTTGTCTGAAAGATCTTCCAGATGCAGATTGGGTTCAGTTTGCTTCTGCTCCAGCCAGCATAGCCAATGATGAAATGATGATAAGGAGAGTCATGGCCAACAACATCTGGAATGCCATAAGTTCCCCTATCTTGACATACACTAAAGCCTTCCTTTTGTCTAAAGCAGTGGTGTCCAACCTTTGGTCCTCCATGTATTTTGGACCAAGGCTTCTGGGAGTTGGAGTCCCAAGCACCCAGAGGGCCAAAGGATGGACGCCACTGCTCTAAAGCAGTGGTTCTCAACCTGTGGGTCCCCAGGTGTTTTGGCCTACAACTCCCAGTTTACCAGTTGTTAGGATTTCTGGGAGTTGAAGGTCAAAAACATCTGGGGACCTCAGGTTGAGAACCACTGGTCTAAAGGATCAAGGCATTCTTACAACTGGAAGAGAAAAATCCATTTGGAAAGCATTGCTTTGATTCGGGCAGAAGCAGATGGGATTGAATTTGGGGGAGTCAGCATTGTGAGTTTCTCTTTCATCCTGTCTGGCTTTGAGGTTTGAAGAGAAAGAAGAAATGGAGTTTCTTGAATCCAAACCTAAGTGATTCAAAATAGCCGAGGTGGCTTTGTGATTAATTTATGAATTGGATTATCAGGGACAAATGATAGGTTTTCAGCTGAAACCGATGCCCCCACTCAATTTTAGGACAGTTGCATTTCCACTCCCTTATTGCTTCTGCCAACCTAGCAGTTTGAAAACATGCAAATGTGAGTAGATCAATAGGTACGCTCCGGCGGGAAGGTAACGGCGCTCCATGCAGTCATGCCGGCCACATGACCTTGGAGGTGTCTATGGACAACGCTGGCTCTTCGGCTTAGAAATGGAGATGAGCACCACACCCCAGTCAGACATGACTGGACTTAATGTCAGGGGACTACCTTTACCTTTTTATTGTTGATGCTGTAAAGGCATTGTTCTGTCACTAGGGGTCAGTATGGTGCCTTAACCCTCAGCATTATCTTCTAGTGCAGTGGTTCTCAACCTGTGGGTCCCCAGATGTTTTGGCCTTCAACTCCCAGAAATCCTAACATCTGGTAAACTGGCTGGGATTTCTGAGAGTTGTAGGCCAAAACACCTGGGGATCCACAGGTTGAGAACCACTGTTCTAGCGCCATCATAGTAGTGCCTTCCAGCTGAACCCAAATTTAAATATGTTAAGGAAACCATGAACAGCCACTGCGGTACGACAGAAACAGTCCTTCCTAGATATCTCAGACAAGCCTAAAAACATTTGGTACAAATAAGGAACTGCGGGGGAAACAGGAACACAATCATTTTCTTTAGAGAATATGGGTATGGCCTACTAAGGATCATACCGGTCTAAGTATCTTGACAAAAAAATACAAGACAATCTAGAATAGGAAAGCATCTGATTTTGTCATAATTTTGCTCTTAATAGCCACATTTTTATCACACGTAACAAAAGGCTAAGTTTTTGACCTGGAACAGCTAACATGTTCACCGTCACCTACCCTCCACGATCATCCCCAACAATGTTGAGTGACAACTTTCATAAGCTAAATGTTTATGGGGAAATGGAAGAAGGAAACATACTTGTGGCTCTAATAGAGTGGAGAATACGCTCTGGGTTTTAGACCGAACTTTATGAGCTACCTCAAAATACTACCCCAGTTTCAAGAATATCACTAGGAACATCGAAAAGTGCCTTTTATGTTTGTCTTAATGTCAGATTATCCACTGCAGTAGCAGGAACTGGGGGAAACAGGCTGGAATGGCAGATGCCAGGTTCAGGCGTGAAATAGAAAAGGACAGCAAGGTTTAGTGTTATTAAAAGATTGGGGAGTAAGGGGGAAGTTATAGGGTCGGCAAAATGACGACAATTTAATTCTTAAAGAAAAAATAAATATTCCTTCAAGTCCCCAAATTTTTAGCATTGCAGCACCATCAAAAAGCCTGGGCTTTTAGAAATATTGCTTAGGTGTCCAAAGAAAAAGGAGACGTGAACAAGGGGATGCAAATACAGTACGTCAGTGTTTCTCAACCTTCCCAATGCCGCGACCCCTTAATACTGTTCCTGATGTTGTGGTGACCCCCAACCATAACATTATTTTCGTTACTCCTTCATAACTGTAACATTGCTACTGTTATGAATCATAATGTAAATATCTGATACGCAGGATGTATTTTTATTCACAGGAACAAATTTAGGCACAAATACTCGATACGCCCCAAATTTGAATACCGGTGGGATTGAGGGAAGATTGATTTTGTCATTTGGAAGTTGTAGTTGCTGGGATTTATAGTTCACTTACAATCAAAGAGCATTTTGAACTCCACCAATGATGGAATGGAACCAAACCTGGAACAAAGAACTCACACAACCAACAGAAAATCCTGGAAGGGTTTGGTGGGTATCGACCTTGAGTTTTGGAGTTATAGTTCACCTACATCCAGAGAGCACTATGGACTCAAACAATGATGGATCTGGATCAAACTTGGCACTGATATTCAATATGCCCAAATGTGAACATTGGTGGAGTTTGGGGAAAATAGTCTAGGTAACGGAGGAAGTTAGTCCAGTCTGTTGTTTTAGACCTGTTACTGTGTTGAGATAATCTTTGCGTTAGAATGTCCATGGCATGAATATTCCATATGCCCAAATATGATGGAGTTTGGGGGAAATAGACCTTGACATTTGGGAGTTGTAGTTGCGGGGATTTATAGCTCACCTACAATCGAAGAGCATTCTGAAGCCCAGCAATGATAGAATTGGGCCAAACTTCCCACACAGAACCCCCATGACCAACAGAAATTACTGTGTTTTCTGATGGTCCTTGGAGACCCCTCTGACACCTCCTCGTGACCCTTCCACGGGTCCCAACTAGGCTTGGGTAACCACGGAAAAATTTGGTTCTAAACTCGTTTTGTTTTGAGGGGGCCCTTGCATTTCATTTTTTTAAATAATTCTGAAATTTTCCTTTAAAATTTTTTGAAATTTATGAAATTTCGTAAAATTACAAATCGATTCGTTAATGGCGGACGAGATTGCAATATGCTAAAAAAACCTCCAAATGGGACAGGGGGAACTTCTGAAGCTTCCCTCTCCCTCTGTTGTTGACTGTTGGTGTGATAAAACAAACAACAACTATAAAACTTGCACCAGACATACGAAAATAATTACGAAATAATTACGAAATAATTACAAAATAATTACAAAATAATTACAAAATTGGAAAAATTGTTTCGATTCTTAATTACTCCTCACACTATTCCTGCATGGCTCAATATTGGATCGTAAGCTAATTTAAATACGAATTAATAACGAATTACGAAATTAACGAACGAAACCGCCCAAGCCTAGTCCCAACCCCCAGGTTGAGAAACGCTGCAGTAAGATGGCTTTCAGAGTCTCACTCTCTGCAATGCTGGAAATTTGGGAATGGGAGGAAAATTTCATTTAGGAACTGAATGAGGAAAAAAATAACTCCGTCTAGAGCAGGCATGGGCAAACTTTGGCCTTCTGGATGTTTTGGACTTCAACTCCCAGAATTCCTAACAGCCTCAGGCCCTTACCTTTTCCCCCTCAGCCGCTTAAGCGGCTGAGGGGGAAAAGGAAGGGGCCTGAGGCTGTTAGGAATTCTGGGAGTTGAAGTCCAAAACACCTGGAAGGCCAAAGTTTGCCCATACCTGGTCTAGAGTATCATAAAGTCAAAAATAATTACAAAAGAAGTACCTTTGGGGGCGGGGGGGGGGGGATACATGTAGTTCCCGGCATCTTGGCAAAGGGAGTTTCCACAACTTTTCTTACAAAAGGAATGTCTCTTCCAAGCTGTCTCCTCCTGCAACCACATGTTAATGCATCAGAACTGTAAAAACAAAAACTATGAAGTGCCATTTTTAAAAGAATGATTTATTTATATTTCAAGTGTGTGTTTCCCCTTTTTTTTCTTATTCCCAATATGTTTCTCCTAATTTTTCCCTGCAGGGAGATGAGGAACCACAAAAAGAATGAATAAAGGGTTTGTGTTCTCTTCCTTTGCAAAGTGTGCTTTGAACTTAGGGAAGTTGCCTTCATGAACTACATTTCCCAGGAAGGCCTGGTGGTGCAGTGAGTTAAAGCTCTAAGCTGCTGAACTTGCTGACTGAAAGGTTGCAGGTTTGAATCTAGGGAGTGAGCTCCCACTGTTGGCCCCAGCTTCTGCCAACCTAGCAGTTTGAAAAAAATGCAAATGTGAGTAGATCAATAGGTACCGCTCCAGTGGAAAGGTAATAGCGCTCCATGCAG